TGTGTGAGAGAGAGAGAGAGAGAGAGAGAGAGAGAGAGAGAGAGAGTAAGTGTCTTTTCCTCATGGAGTGGCTGGAATCACTCTTGGTCATGGAAAATGGGTCCCCCAGTCTTCTAAAATTACATCCCCCCCACCCTAAAGCTCTCCCCGCTTCTTGGACCTCCCGTTTACTGTGTCTATTTGTAAGCCTGTGAGTAGGATTTTTTTAAAAACATCCTCCTGACATTTAGGGGGGGAGGAAAGGGCTGGTTTGAACATCATTGTTCTTAACGCCACTTTTCAGTCATAGGGAATAGCCATGTTCCTTGACCAAAATCCATCCATGAAAGTCACCCCCAGAGCCCTTCCACTGAGCCCGCCGCCTGCGAAACTGGGATGATGTGACTTAGGCTGATGACTTACACATTCCAGAGATGAGAGGAAGCCACCCTCTTGACCCTGAAAGCATGCCGTCACAAAATAATAGACCGCAACAAGATCTCCATACAGTGATGCAGCCTGGCCGTTAGCAGAAAAGCATTATAAAATCAAGCAACAGAAATGGTTTACATCTCTGGCGGCTGAGCCAGACGTTGAGTGTTCGATTCCCCCCACGGGGCCTCCTTGACCAGGGCCGGACTCGATGACCCATAGGGTCCCCTTCCAGCAATGCAGTTTCGAGATGGTGATGATTGTTGCTGTTGTTATATAAGTTTACAAAACCAAACATGTTTTGACTAACGTCTTATTCACTGGTGTGAACAAGGAGGCAATGGGAGCAGCTGTGCCAAGAAATGCACTGTAGTCGTCCGACTGGCCCAACAAAATGGTTGCACCAGCAGCAGCCACATCTGGCTCTTTTCCTGTGAGGTCTATTTTCTTTCATGCCTGTCTGTTTCCCCCACAGATCACTACATGCAGGTCCTGGTGTGTCAACACGAGTGTGTGAGGGAGCTGGCGACACGACCCGGGCGGCTCTCGCCCATCGACAACTACCTCCCCCTCCACTATGATTTCTTGCAGTTTGCCTATTACAGAGGTAAGGCTTGTTTTTCTGGATTTTCCTAACAAATTGAAATACAGTAGGACACACACACCCCTGGCCGGCAGATTCTGAAAAACACGGATTACAGCCAACGCTATACATAGCAAAATACATAGCATGGTTTCTGGTTCCCTCTAGTGGCCAGTTTTAGTAACTTCTTTAAAAACAACTATTTCTAGGATTTTTAAAGTGTTTTTAGCAGTTTGAAAGCATGCAAATGCGAGCAGATAAATAGGGACCACCTCGGTGGGAAGGTAACAGCATTCTGTGTCTAAGTCACACTGGCCATGTGACCACGGAAGATTGTCCTTGGACAAAACGCTGGCTCTGTGGCTTGGAAACGGGGATGAGCACCGCCCCCTAGAGTCGAACACGACTGGACAAAAATTGTCAAGGGGAACCTTTACCTTTTTAATAATTTTAGACTGTGGATAAGTGAATCAGTGGATACTGATCCTGTGGATGAGAGAGTCCTACTGTATTTCCTACCTTGTGGGATTGCTGCACTGAAGACTACAGAGTTTGCTGTCCAGGGAAGTTGGGCACCTTCGTGTCCTGGCCTGTCTCTGAGGTGACCTTTCCAACAGCTGAACTTTTTGGAAGTTCAAAGGCATTTTTGCTCCAAGACTGAGATTCAAAAAGCCCCAAATTAAATCCAATGTTGTTTCATAGGGAGAAATACAGACGCTCATGTAAGATGCATGTAACATCTGTCTAGTTTATACCATCGTCATGGTTTTTATGCTGTGGGTTTGGTGGTGACAGGGAGCTGTGACCAGAGTTTGGAAAAGTTACTTTTCAAGCTCCAAAGCCCTCCTCTGGGAGGCCCGGTCCCCCCCTCCTTTTCTTTTCCAACAACAGAGGAAGACAATCTTGTTTAAACATTTAATTTGCTGGGCTGTTTTTGATGCTGTTTGCTGGACACCGTTTTTATTTTATGTCTGTTTCTAACGTGTTTTCAGGAGCTTTGAATAATCTTTATAACAAACGGTTTCGATGCCGTTACATGTTCAATTGTTACTTGGTGTTACAATGTTATTTGTGGTTTTAGTTTGTTTTCTGATCACCTGTGAACCGCCTTGGGCCCCTCCATTGGAAGAGAGGCGGCTTACCCATGAAAACGGATAAATAAATACAGTTAAATGAACCTTGGGGGGTTTATTAAGAGTAGAATGCACAGAACGACGAAGATGTATTCCAGTTTGGAAGAAAAGAGTCAAAGAGCAAGACCCACAAAAACACTAACTACATTAGTGCAGGAAGTGAGCTCGCGGGAGCTGGCCGGTTGATTTGCAGGCCAAGTGGGGGCAAACCTGGCCGGTTGGAACTTGCACAGAAATTAGGGAAGAGTCAAGTCTGGAGGCACATTCCTTTCCAATGCCAAGCTTGCTTTGGGACACGCCCGGCTTAGGAGCGGCATCTCCGTCATTAGGCTTTTCGTTAGCGGAGAGGTGAAATTCAGAAAAGGAATGTCCTGATGCCAAAAAAGATCCTTAACCCGTAGGACGGGATATCTCGGTTTCCCCAGCATCCTTTTGGGTTACACAGTCCACAGGGAACAAGACCTACAAGGTCAGTGATTGTTGGCTATCATCTGAACCATTGCAAAAAAAAAAGAGTCTCCTGATGATGCAATACATGGCATACCATTTTCGTTGATACTACAGGATATGTACAATTTTGTACTCCTTTTGAAACTCCATTACTAGTTATGAGTTGCTTAGACAACGGGGGTGCTGGATCAAATCAAGCCTGAACTATCTCTGTCGCTCTGTGCCTTCAAGTTGGAAACAACTTATAGTGACCTTAGTAGGGTTTTCAAGGTAAGTGAGATATTTAAGGAGTGGCTTTACCACTTCCATTCCCCAAGCGAGTTTCCCTAGCCAAGTGAGGATTCGAACCCTGTTCTACAGAGTCCCAGTCCATCAGTCTATCTGCTACATCGCTCCGGATTATTATCTATCTCTGGAGGCATAAAGAACAGAACTGATGGTGTCTACTTTGGGCACGTCGTGACAAGGCAGGATTCTCTGGAACAGACAATAATGCTTGGAAAGGTTGAAAGCAGCAGGAAAAGAGGAAGACCTAATACTAGACAGATTATCCTGAAGGAACCTACAGACTTGAGTTGAGCTGATGAGAACTGGACATTTTGGAGATCGCTCGTTCCGTGAGTTGGAGGTGACTTGACAGCAGGTAGCAGCAACACATAAAAACCTCTCAGAGAGAAAAACAGGTCCAGACATGATGTTTGTCACTGGGATAATTTTTTTTGTCCCAGCCAATGTAACATACTACAGAAAAACAGAAAGTCCCACACTCTAACCTTAACCCTCCATAATTTTTGGAAAGTTTTGTTGCGTTCAGTGAATATTCCACAATTCGCTTTGTGCAATTTTTGTTTTTCCTGCTTATGCGGCTGATGCTGAAAATAGTCCAGTCAATGGCCCTGGGTACAAGCGAGAGAGAGTGGCCCTCACGGCCATTGACTTGACTGTTTTCAGCCATGCAGCCTTGCTGGGAAGCAGTTTTTATATTGAGAGAAGGATGCCCCGTAGAGGACAAGTCTTGCACCTCCATTTGCTGAAGGTCACCATGGCTCTCCTGCAGAGGTAGAGTGGCTCATTCAGTCTGCTCCATAGAAGAGGACAGTGGATTCCAGGGTGTCACAATTGACTGGTACTATGGAGGTTTGGCACAACAGAGGCTAGACAGTGGAAGGTGTACAACCTGTGGAATTTTGAACGTCGGGCCTCCTGCAGAGAGAGCTTCACCTTCTGCTTCTTCCCCAGTGAATCTCCCACAAGCCTCTGCTTGTGTACAGATTTGCTTAGGAACCAACAGTGTCAGGAATACCCACAATTTTTCTTGCCACCACCAACAAAAAAAAAGCATCTCGACATGTTGAACAGTAGGCTCATTGCTGCATGACCTCTGACTTCTGTGGAAGGACCAGAAGACTTGCTTTTTTTTCATAAGCAGGAGCATTTAAAAAAATGGTGTAAAAGGAATCCGGCGCTTTTGTGCAAAAACTTGCATATTGCACAAACTACAAAAATTTGCTAAGCAAAATGCAAGGGGATGAATTGCACAATGAACCAAGTTCTTTGTGCAGCAACAGCAGCAACCATGGCATCCTCAGTGATTGCAAATTTTTAAAAATGGTGTGAAAAATGGGCACAAATCTTTCATCATCTCACCCCTGGACACAAAATGTTAAAGCCTGTTGTTCTCACTGCAAGCGTGAAACAAGTGAAAATGTACCTCCTGGGAGATGCAAGGCCTTTTATGTTTGCATCTGTGATCCTCAGCTTCCATTGACCAGCCTGTACAGCAGATGTACACAGTTAGTAACTTGCCAAGCACAACGCAGTTCACCTGTCACAATTTCTGGCCTCCTGGGTTGTTGAATGCCCCCCACACACCATTTTTGCAGCCCAGGCAAGCCATTGAGAAACACAGGAAGTTTTCCTGAGCCCTTAAATGGGCCGTAAGTGGCTCGGCTCGATTGGGATAGGTCCAGAGGTCGTCCCTGCTGACCCTTCTGATTCTTCTCTCTGGACATCTGTTTTTGCTGTGATGTTGCAAAACATTAAGCGAACAGTGCAGCCCGCGAATTGCATTGCATTCCTTTCTTCCAGTTGGTGATTACGTCAGGGCGCTGGAGTGCACGAGGTCGTACCTCTTGTTCCATCCGGATGACGAGGATGTCTTAGAGAACGAGAGCTATTACGAAAGTCTTCTCGAAGGCTCAGTGGACCTGGAAAACATCAAGCCGAGACAGGTGAGAATCATGACCCTGGCACTGGCCAATAATGGTTGTAAGTTGGGCTTTGGGCTTCCTGCCTTCCTGGGCACCTGCCCTCTGAGCTCCAGGATGATGAGAAGGCAGGTCTCTTGGGGGCATTTTTTGGGTGTTGAAATGAGAGCTCACTGCTCAGTGCCTCTTCTGTGCTGTCAACTCAAAATGGACTTATAGCAACCCTTAGGAGGGCTTTCAAGGTAACTGAGATATTTAGCTTTACCGGTTCCACTCCCTCAGTGAGTTTCCATGGCCAAGTGGGGATTCAAACCCAGTTCTCCAGCATCCTACCCCGTCACTCTATCCACTATACCACGTTAGGAATCTAGGAATATATAAAAAGGGAGAGAAGGGGTGATGTAATGGATACCAGAAAACACTCCCTTCCCCTGGTTTGCTTCCTTTCTTTAAAACAAAAATTATGAAGAGTGCCAGCCTTCCGTTGGCCTGACACCAGTCGACGGTCCATTGGGGGCCACCATCTTTGATCCTTCCCAGAGATGGCAACTTCTGGTGCTGGGAGGTGGGAACGAAGATGAAGGACAAAAGGGTTCGCATCTGGAGTTGGGTCTCAACATTAACCTTAGGATGTGACTCCTGATGAATCCTGGGCTCTCCTAGATCTTCCCTTACCGAGCAACAGAGCAGGAGGCGAAACAAGTCAGTGGGCATGGACGGTGGGGCAGGCCGTTGGCCTTGGCTGGCTCCAGGGGCCTCCAGGCCCCACCGACTGTGCCAAAGGGCCACCCTCTCTGTTTAACATCTGGATGTCTAACAATCCCCAAAAAAGGAAGTGCAATTCAGCATCATGTACAATGAGATTTCGGAGTGTTAGCCTCTGGGGAGAAACTAGGGGCTGTGCCCCAACCTGTGTTGTGGGGGCTTCACTGAGTATATTTCCAGAAACTTAAATGAAAGAACGAGAGAAATAGAATTGGTGACTGGTTGTATTTGTGATGCTGTGTATACCTCTGGCTTGCTATCGCCCTCTCTTGTTGGGCGGTTTGTTTGCCAGCATGGATTTCCCGGGGAGCTGCAGACAACGGTCGGCTCTGAATGACCTCCTTGGGAGTGATCCTCCCACAACTGGCTTGGCTTTAAACCTTTCTCTCGGTTATTTCAGGAAGCTGTGACATTCCTGAGGCGACATAAGCTGGAAGCATACTTGCTACAGACAGGAGCAGCTG